CTTCTCGCCAGTATTCAACCTCGCAGTGCCGCTGCCACGGCGCGCAGTGAGCCAGGAGACCCGTGGAGGCGGACAAAATCTCTGACGCGTTTTGAGCTCCAAAGTCGCTAAATGGGACTCGAACCGATCGTGTGACCCCACCAATGGATTGCTCTCCGAACGAGGAATCCATTGGTGGGGTCACACGTTCGGTTCGAGTCCCATGTAGCGACTCTGAAGCTCAAAACGCGTCTAGAGTTTCGGCCGCCTCCACCGGTCTTCTGGCAAATCCGCTGTGCGGCGCGCAGCTTAAGAGCGCCTGCGGACGGCGGGGTAGGCAACCCGGCGGCCTGCCGAGTCCGACGGGCCTGCCTCCGCTGCCCGTCAGGCGCTCCCCGCTCCCTCGAGACGGTCTTGACGGTCTTGACCCGCCCCAGGAGTGTCCCGGGGGCGGATATCGCACACGGACCGTGAAATGCCCCCCCCCCCACGCCGAGCCGTGGTTCCGGGAAGCCCCACCGAGGCGTGGCGCGACGCGGCCAGCACCGAGTCCGGAGCGCAACCTTGTTCTGGCGGCACTTGGTGCTGACCTTCCGTCTTCAGTTCCCATTTCTCGGTACGTGCCCCTCTGCCCTTGTGAACCAGATCCGGGCCAGATCTCCTGTTGGGCGGCGCTTATTCCGCCTCCCCCCCCCCCCTTTCTGTCGACAGATCTTTCTCGTAGCCCAACCCCCTGTCGCGTGCCAGTCCTCCCCTTAGTTGAGCGGCGTGAAGCCGGCGACCCGCGTCGCCGTAGCCGCGTGGTTAAGAGTGCCAGCTTGGTGAACCGGAGGGCACAGGTTCGAAACCCCGACGTCTTCCTTTTTTTGGCCTATTAAAGGGGGCTCTGCTGAGCCTGTTCCGATGATGAGGCCGCCCGGTGACCGAGCACGCGGTTACGCCCACTCCCCACCCCAGCGTGCCCCCGCGGGGCACGGTGCTCTCGGGGGACGTGGAGGAGGGGCCTCTGGCGGAGAAAGTGAGCCTCGCTGCGGCGCGTCGCGAAGCCTCGGCCAGGACTTGGCGCGGGACTTGGCCCCGGACGCCCTCCGGCGGTCGGCCCCGTCCGCCCACAAGCCGGGGCACGGCGCGAAGGGCGTGGCGTTGACGTGCTGCAGGCTTCACGCAGTGGGCCAGAAGACCGGTGGAGGCGGCCAAAATTCCAGACGCGTTTTGAGCTACAGAGTCGCTAGACAGGACTCGAACCGAACGTGTGACCCCACAAATGGATTCCTCTCCGAACGAGGAATCCATTGGTGGGGTCACACGCTTGGTTCGAGTCTCATTTAGCGACTCTGGAGCTCAAAACGCTTCTAGAGTTTTGGCCGCCTCAACCGGCCTTCTGGCCCACTGTGAGTTGACGTGACGTGCGCTTCACTCTCTCCCTCTCCCACCCACTCACAGACACACACCTACTTATGTACTTCACAACTTACTTGCTTACCTACTTACCTTACTTTTGCGCACGCGCGCGCGCACTCAGTCACTCACTCACACACACACACGCGCGCGCGCACTCAGTCACTCACTCACACACACACACACACACACACACACGGCGTGCAACTGATGGCGCGGTGTGGCGCGGCTAGGCGTGTGCTCGAGGTCTGACGCGCTCCTTCCTTGCAGCCGTTGCCGTTGCGGTGGCCGTGCGGTGCTTGGAGCCAGGGCGAGAGCCAGGGCGAGAGCCGGGGCGAGAGCCAGGGCCTGCAGGGCCTGGGCCTTGGCGGCCTCCGCGGCGTCCAGGGCGTCCGAGGCGTGGGGCGCGCGGCGGGGGCGACGTTGCCACGATGAGGAGGCCGCTCTCGCGCCCCGTCGGCCCCGTCGGCCATGCAGCGCCTCAGGAACACGTTCCAGCGGTCGCGCACGCCTACCGGCGCCGACATGAAGATGCAGTCCAGCCTGGACGTGCCCAAGACGGTGCGCAGCGCCTCCTTCGACGAGATCCAGCTGGAGGCCAAGCGCATGGAGGGCCCGGCCACGGCGGCGGCCACGCCCGACGCGGAGGCGGGGTCGTCGTCGCTGCTGCGGGTGCCGCACGTGGGCGCAGCGGGCGGCCAGCGCTCCAAGAGCTTCGACGGCGTGGGCGGCTCTGGCGGCGGCGGTTACGCGCCTCCGGCCGCGCCGACGGCGTCCACGGCGAGGGCGGACAGCAGCGAGGAGTCCGGCGCGTTCCTGGAGGTGCCGGCGAGGAGCCGCTTCCAGCGGCGCCGCTCCTCGGGGGAGCGGACCGTCTTCTGCATCCACTGCGCCCTCATGGAGGAGTGGAGCCGCGACCCCGTGCCGGCGGTCGCCAGCTGGCCGGCGCCGGCCTCCCCCGTCGACTCGGACGACGATGACTCCTCCGACGACGTCGGCGAGGACTCGGACGACGGCGACGACGAGGAGTCCTCGCTGGCGCCCGAGTCGCCGCCGCCCTGGCCGGGGCAGGTGCTGGGGCAGGTGGGCCAGGACGTGGTGGCGTGCGGCATCCGCGTCACGCTCTCCGCGTCGCCGGCGTCCCCCGAGCAGGAGCGGCCGCCGACGCCGCCGCCCGCGTCGCCCGTGCGGCGCCGCTCCATCCAGCGGCAGGAGGCGCTCTTCATCGTGGAGCCCCCCGAGGCATCCATGCTGGTGCCGCAGGGCAGCAGCTCGCTGGAGTACGCCTCGGACGCCACCTCCGACGGCAGCGACGCGGCCGTGGCGCCGGGCCCCGCGCCCAACCAGGCCAACCAGGCCGGCCTGCTGGTGCGGGACTTCTACCTGGCCGTGCCCGAGCTCAAGCGCGACCGCGCCGCGTCCGTCGACTCGTGCTTCATCAACAAGGCCCCCGCCGGCGGCAAGGCCGAGGAGGTGGTGCCGCCGACGGGGGCCTCGCTGGGCTCGACGCTGGAGCCGCCCCCGCCGGGCACGCTGCGGTCGCGCTCCGTGGACATCGTGCTGCCCACGGACGAGCAGGCCCGCTACAAGGCGCTGGCCATGGCGGCGCCCTCGCAGCCCCCGCAGCCCCTCCACATCGCCAGGTAAGGCAGCCCCTTTGTTTTCTCGCTCGCTCACCGAGTTGCCCAGGTAAGTTCAAGTTGCGCTCATCTAGCCGCTCGAGGTCGCTCTCGCCGCACAGTGGGCCAGAAGACCGGCGGAGGCGGACAAAGCTCCAGACGCGTTTTGAGCTCCAGAGTCGCTAAATGGGACTCGAACCGAACATGTGACCCACCAATGGATTGCTCTTCGAACGAGGAATCCATTGGTGGGGTCACACGTTCGGTTCGAGTCCTGTTTAGCGACTCTGGAGCTGGAGCTCAAAACGCGTCGAGAGTTTTGGCCGCGTCCACCGGTCTTCTGGCCCACTGTGGCCGGCACTCGCTGCTCCGGTAAGTACCAGCCTTGCCCTGCACGCCCCGCCCTTCGCCCCTCCGGCGAGGCGAGAGGAACTTCCCCGCGACCATTGTGGCTGGGCCGCGAACAATTACCTATATCGGACATTTCGCGGCGTGGGCGGCCAGGGGGAGGGGAAGGGGGAGGGGAAGGGGGAGGGGGGACCGCCCCCGCTGGGTTTGGGTTTTTCGTGCTAAATTAATTCCCGACTGTTCCTCGCCGTAATTAGCGCGGCTCTCTCTGCCACATAACTTTACCGCGGAAACTTGATAAATTATTTTTGCAACGGAGTTTACTGTCTTGTCGCGTTGCGTTGCCGCGGCGGCCAGGGGCCACACGTCTGAGAGGGCTTTCCGCGGGAATACAGCCAGGAAGGCGCGTCTCCGCGCCACAGTGGGCCAGAAGACCGGAGGAGGCGGCCAAAACTCCAGACGCGTTTTGAGCTCCAGAGTCGCTGGGACTCGAACCGAACGTGTGACCCCACCAATGGATTGCTCTCCGGACGAGGAATCCAATGGTGTGGTCACTTGTTCAGTTCGAGGCCTGTTGAGCGACTCTAGAGCTCTAAACGCGTCTGGAGTTTTGGCCGCCTCCACCGGTCTTCTGGCCCACTGTGCGCGCGTCGCGGTGCCAGATAGACGGAGAGAGAGCCAAGTTTCACTTTGATATCGCACTTGGAGTTGTAAGTGCTTTTATTTCGCCTGAGTTCGCGCCACGCGGTTCGCACCGCTCTGCGTGTGTGAGTGTGTGCGCGGCAGGCTGTGTATCGTTGGCTGTCTCATTTTTCTCTCACGAATTTTAATGGTGTCTGGAAGAAGAGACTCGGGAAAAAACAGTTGGGCCAACAAAGTTTTATGTAGATTGATCCCGGGTTCTTTTTCTTTTCGCATTGTCTAAGGCAGTGACAGCTTTACTTTGCCCGGAAAGTGAATTTTTTTTCAAGAATTTCGTTCGGTTAGCAAGTAAATTTAAAAAAAAAAAATTTAAGTTTAAAAAAAATTTAATTTTTTTAAATTTTTTTTTCATTTTTTTTTGTTGTTCTTTTGGTTTTTAAAATTAGCCTTGAGAAGGCCCGCGCCCAGAGAGGAGGCCGTGACTGGCTCTTCGTGTTTGCGGCCACGGCAGGCCACAGCGGGCGTCAGGATCCACCGGCCGATCGACGAAAGGCAGGATGTTGTGATCCCCAGAGCAATATTCCAGGTGGGGGAAGTGCGCCCCCTCCGTGATTGATGGGGTAAAGTAATGAAGGGCGGGGCGAGGCGGGGCGGGGCGGGGCGGGGTGGGATGGGGCGGGGCGAGGTGGGGTGAGGCGGGGCGGGGCGGGGCGGGGCGGGGTCGTGGGAACGTTAATGACTCGCTTTTCTTGGGGCGAACCGCTTATCGCCGCATCTTCGCGCGCCGTGTTAAATGAAGGCGGTTTCACCTTGAGGAGGTTGTTCTGTGGATCGGGGAAAACAACTTCAGTATGGATGCACGCAAACAGGATTTTTTTGTCTGTGAAATCAAAAATAACAATAAACACTGTCAAAATGTAACACCCCGAGAGGGTGTCGTTTCCTTCTCCTCCTGCATGTTGCTCTCTCTTCTCCTTCTGCCCGGAGGTCCGCTGACTCTCTCTCTCCTTCCAGGCGGGCGGTGGGAGCGGAGGGCGCCCAGCGCGAGTTCAGAGCAACACCCGACTGGGCCGAGTCTGCGATCAACGGCGAGCACCTGTGGTCGCCCACCACGCAGTCCGGGGACATGTGCTACGTCGGCGAGCCTGAATGCACGGTGAGTCTGTCCGTCTCTCTCCTCCCCTTTGTTGCCCCCAAGTTGGTAAAAGGCCCGGATTCCGGGCGTTTACTTTCGGCCCCTTCCGGCCTGCCAGGCCGCACAGTGGGCCAGAAGGCTGGTGGAGGCGGCCAAAACTCTGGACGCGTTTTGAGCTACAGAGTCGCTAAATGGGACTCCAACCGAACGTGTGACCCCACCAATGGATTCCTCGTTCGGAGAGCAATCCATTGGTGGAGTCACGCGTTCGGTTCGAGTCCCATTTAGTGACTTTGGAGCTCTTAGCTCGTCTAGAGTTTTGGCTGCCTCCAGCGGTCTTCCGGCCCACTGTGGGCCGCCTCCACGGCGACCTTGCTGGCTTGCTCGCCGTGCTCCCGGAACCCCGCGAGAACCGCAAGTCATTCGACGTCGCCGCCAAGGAGTCTTGTTTGGCCGGGCGGCCCGGGGTGGGGTGAGGTGGGGTGGGGTGGGGCATTCCCAAAGAACACTTTTAATCAAAGTTTCATAGCATTGTATTCTCGGACGGCGGCCGTGGAGGCCGTGTTGTAAAAGGGTGTTTGAGGGTTGCAACGGAGCCTGGCTGTCTGTCTGCCTGCCTGCCTGGCTGCCTGCCTGGCTGGCTGCCTGCCTGCCCACAGTGGGCCAGAAGACCGGGAGGGGCGGGCAAAACTCAAGGCGCGTTTTGAGCGCCAGAGTCGCTAAGTGGGACTCGAACCAAGCGTGTGACCCCACCAATGGATTGCTGTCCGAACGAGGAATCCATTGGTGGGGTCACACGTTCGGTTCGAGTCCCATTTAGCGACTCTGGAGCTCGAGACGCGTCTGGAGTTTTGGCCGCCTCCACCGGTCTTCTGGCCCACTGTGCTGCCTGCAGGGGTGATCGCTCGGCGTTGCCGCCTTGGCGGCGCGGCGTCTCGCTTGCACCGCGACTCGCCGCGCCGCCTCACCGAATTTTCATACTTAATGAGAACCGTCGTAAAGAAGGGCGGAGCAAGCGGAGCAAGGTAGGCCGCCCCGCCCCGCCGGGCCGACACCGCGAAGGCCGCCCAGGCAAAGACCGCACAAGTCAGCCGGCTGCTCAACTCGGACAAACTTTTTCAAAGTCCGCGCGCGGTGAACCGCCGCCGCCGCACCGCGGCAGGAGGAGGGGAGGGGGGGGGGCGTGTAGTTGCACTCGGATTAAACTTGGCGACACCGACTCCGGGTCGGATGTGGGGCCCCACAGTGGGGCCCCGAGCCCCACCTGGGAGCGCTTAACGTGTCAGCGAGGAAAAGAGTCATTTTTAAATGCATTTTTCTTGGAATTTATGTTTCGGTTGCGCTGTATACACTGTGAAATTGAATACGCGCGCACACACTTTAATCCGTGCGTAGCGCGCCAAGCCCGACCCACTAAGGGTCGGCGCTCACTGTGGGAAAAAATCACAGTAAATCCTGTAGTGATTAGTACAGCTGTGACTGTAGTTCAGAGTACAGGATTTACTGTACTTTTTTACATGATCTACTGTACTTTGTACGGGATTTAATGTATCACAGGAGTGAGTACGGAATATCCTGTACCAGGTACAGTAAATACTGTAGCCAGACACAGTAAATCCTGTGTTCTGAACTACAGTAAATCCCGGCATAAAAATTAACGGGATTCACTGTGGTTTTTTCGCACAGTGCTGGGTCGCGGTCGCTTTGCCGGGCTTTGCCGGGCGTGGCCGCGCCGAGTGCGACTTTGTCCGCCGATTTCCGTTGCGTCCGACCCACTTCGGAGGCGACAGGAATTTGCAGTGGGTGGGTCGGGGTGCTAAATTGGCGCGCAAAAGCGGGTGCAAAGTGGCCGAGTGGCCGGCAGCACGTTGCAGTGCCGTGCCGCCGAAGCACCCTAGACGCGCTTTGAGCTCCAGAGTCGCTAAATGGGACTCGAACCGAACGTGTGACCCCACCAATGGATTGCTCTCCGAAAGAGGAATCCATTGGTGGAGTCACACGTTCGGTTCGAGTCCTGTTTAGCGACTCTGGAGCTAAAAACGCGTTTAAAATTTCGTCCCCTGCCACCGGTCTTCTCACCCACTGCGCGCCACCGGGCCTTCGCTGCACCCCACTGTCCTGACACAAAAAAACGGGGTGGAAAAGCATAGAAAAAGTCAAACTGTGTGCAAATAAACGGCAGGCTTCAAAAAGGGGCAGAAAAAGTCTCGTCCTATCGAGTCCGCGCTGCACAGTGTGCCAGAAGACTGGTGGAGCTGCCAAAATTCGAGGCGCGTTTTGAGCTCCAGAGTCGCTAAATGGGACTCGAACCGACCCTGCGACCCCACCAATGGATTCCTCGTTTGGAGAGCAATCCATTGCTGGGGTCACACGTTCGGTTCGAGTCCCATTTAGCGACTCTTGAGCTCAAAACGCGTCTCGAATTTTGGCCGCTTCACCGGTCTTCTGGCCCACTGTGCTCGGCTCGGGTCCGCGCGAAGCGGCTCTCCGCAGGTGTTCATTTCAGCCGGGCAGAATCGATGCCTGTACAGTGTACAGTGTGCGCGGACGTGCCTGCCACTGGAAGTCGCACCGAGTCGCGGGCATGGCGACAAAACGGACCTAAGTCTCTGCGACGACGTCCTGGGGGATCCTGGAGCATCCGGGAGATCTCCCTGGCCTCGCTGGCCGCGCAACCAAATCATGGACTCCTGGAGCCTCCAGGGACCGCCGTGGCGCGCAGTGGCCGAGGCAGTGCCGCGCCGCGCCAACCAATCACGGCGCCGCTAGCGGTCGCCAGTGCCGTTTCCGCGCTGCATTCACTTTGGAAGTGATTTCCTCCATCTCAGCGCGCATGCCAGTTTCCATCCCCCCCCCCCATTTCCCCCTCCCCCTGCCGTTGTTTGGGGTGTGCGGTGGGGCGACTGCCCACGTGCCGACCCAGCCAGGCGCCAATCGAGAGTCTCGACCTCGTAGTCTTGATTCGATAGTCTCGATCTGAGAGTCTTGATCTCGGAGTCTTGGTTCGATAGTCTCGATCAGAAAGACTCGATCTCGAAATCTTGATTCGATAGTCTCGATCCCGGAGTCTTTATTCGATAGTCTCGATCCGCGAGTCTCGATCTCGAAGTCTTGATTCGATAGTCTCGATCCGAGAGTCTCGATTGGCACCGCGCTCGGCTATTAAAAAAAGGTTTACAAACTTGGGATTCGAACGCACGACCTCGAGGTCAGAAAACAGGTGCGCTAACCACGTGACTATGCCGGCGTGACCCGTAAGGTCGTTTGAAACTCCCACCCTTTCGCGAGGCGTTCCGCGAGGCGTTCCGCGAGGCGTTTCGCCAGGCGTGCCCAACTTCGGACGGCCGCTCCGCTTGGCTCCGCTCGGCTCCGCTTGGCTCCTGCCGCCCCACTCCAGCCCCGGCCGTCCGCCACGGCGCGCCGTCCAAACTGGTCCAAACCCGATTCCATTCAAAGAGTGCATGCTGATTGAGGGTCTTCGTTTCCCCGCTGCTGTGCTGCCTCCTGTGTCCTACAGTGTACATTCCGGCGGACGGACCGAACCACACCGGAAAAAGTCGTTTCTGAAACCAAGAAAATTCACCCGCAATAAGTCCGACTTTTCTCTAAACATTCAAGTAGATTTACTTGTTGCAAGTGTTTCACCTGGGTTCAGAGGAAACGACGTTTTCTGGGTGCAGCGGCAGAGCCCGCGTCGCGAATCCCCCGAGTCCCGAAGCGAGGAGGAACGAAGCCCGGCCTTCGGCAAGCCTCGGCTCGGCTTTCGGCTTTCGGCTCTCGGCGCGCCTGGTCGCGGCGATAGACGGAAAGCGCGATGGGCCACCTCCTCCCCTTCCGCGGCCTGGCCGGCCTGGCCGGCCTGGCCGGGCCGGCCACAGTGGGCCAGCAGGCCGGTGGAGGCGGCCAAAACTCTAGACGCGTTTTAAGCTCCAGAGCCGCTAAATGGGACTCGAACCGAACGTGTGACCCTACCAATGGATTCCTCGTTCGGGGAGCAACCCATTGATGGGTTCACACGTTCGGTTCGAGTCCCATTTAGCGACTCTGGAGCTCAAAACGCGTCCGGGGTTTTGGCCACCTCCACAGGTCTTCTGGCCCACTGTGGGCCTAGCGCCTTGGCCGCGGCATCGTGGCACCCATCGACTCGCCCCCTGACCTACCCCCTCCCCGCCCCTACCCGTTCAATTCAATTCAATTTCTGTGTCTCGCCGCTTAGCTCCGCCTGGCCGCTTGCACCGGCTCCCTCATATGCGTCAGCCACGATCTTGAGTTCCGTGCGGGGGCGGGCCGCGCACCGGGTCGCATTTCAATAACTTAGGCGCCGGACCAGCTCGCGCGGTTGTATATCAAACGTAAGCCAGCCCCAGAGGCCTCCAGGCCGCCTCCAGGCCGCCTCCAGGCCTTCGCGGCCCCCGGGGGCGGCTGCGCGACACGGGGGCGGCGCGGCGCACAGTGGATTTGCCAGAAGACCGGCGCCGCGGCCAAAACTCCAGGCGCGTTTTGAGCTCCTGAGTCGCTAAACAGGACTCGAAACGAACGTGTGACCCCACCAATGGATTCCTCGTTCGGAGAGCAATCCATTGGTGGGGTCACACGCCCAGATCGAGTCCCATTTAGCGACGCTGGAGCTCAAAACGCGTCTAGAGTTTGGTCCACCTCCACCGGTCTTCTGGCCCACTGTGCGGCGGCCATGCGTGTCGCAGCCCGGCTGGAGAAAGGCGAGATCGTCCGGGGGCCAAAGACGGCGTGTCCCCTTTATTTTGCAGCCTGCCCGCCTGTCCGCCGTCGCACAGTGGGCCAGAAGACCGGTGGAAGCGGCCAAAGCTCGAGACGCGTTTTGAGCTACAGAGTCGCTAAATGGGACTCGAACCGAACGTGTGACCCCACCAATGGATTGCTCTCCGAACAAGGAATCCATTGGTGGGGTCACACGTTCGGTTCGAGGCTGTTTAGCGACTCTGGAGCACAAAACGCGTCCAGAGTTTTGGCCGCCACCGCCGGTCTTCTGGCCCACTGTGCGT